AAATTTTCATTTAGGTGAAGGTACACTGCAACTCGTCGAAGACACCCGAAACCCTGACCACATTGCACCAGCACATTATGCATTGTAAAAAGTATAGTCATCTCTTTAGAAGCAATTCATAACTTGATTCACTATTATCATTTTCCTAAATACGCTAACTTTAAAAGCTATTGTAACATTAACAATATTTCGGGATCTTATACAAAACCCTTCACAATCACCGACACTGTTTCTTATCACACAGACTCCATGGTGAGCAAGATCACATATCGAAATGTAATTTCAAGCACGCATTTTCACATGAGGTAACTTTTGCCCTTCAGTAATTTGCTAACCTACCCTCAATTAAGTCCACTACCAATAACTATATTTAAGTTGTAAAAGGAAACTTAACGATAATGCCTGGTTGAAATAGCTTGGTAGTCGTTGCACTCCCAGCGGTGAACACATCTACAATAACTCGCAAAGCAGAAGTATCACATCCTTGTTTTCTTTGGATAGCCGATTCTCACTGTAGTCTATCTACATTAAAAAAAAAGAAACAAATATTTAACACTTCATCGGGCATTCTAAGCACATTAATCTTATCAATAGTTATCGATTGCAGTTAACGCTGATTATTATTAGACATCGAGTACATAACCAGAAATAGAGACGAAATGTCATTTAATTTGTTTGAAAACTGTACTGTCATATCATTACAGTGACAACAGCGCTCCGATTGGCTAACCCGAATTCGAAACAACAAGGGTGTTGTGAATTGTTTCACTTCAAATTGACCAGTTTAACTTGAGCTTTTCTATAATGGACGAAAATTGAAAAATTACATATTTAATATTTCATTACCGATGAAATGTGATTCCGTTTGTTTTGTAATTACATGTTTTGCTGTTTTTCCCACACCACCGAATGGAACTGCCCCCCAGTAGTATTATCTTTATTACTGTCAGTTGTTGGCGCAGTACTTTCTAATTTGTGATTTCAGTGCAAACGAGAGTTGATATTTACGTGATGAAATATTCAAACACATTACAAGTAAATTACATTCTGGTAACATTACACAACTCATAGAAAAATTAACAAATCAAACTGACGAACTCTACAGTACACATACACATGGAATTAGGAAGATCATAAATGTGCGCAGTGCCCGGTGCTTTTGGATTGCGACCTCCCGCTGCTGGGGCTCATTGGGCGCGCCGTCAACAGCATCTACTTCCTCGCTAACACGCGCTTTATCGAGAAGAACGACGTCATCGAAGATATGTACTTCGTTAATAAGGGTACCGTCGTAGTCAGGGACTCGAACGACGATAACCTCCAAATTATGAAGTTGCCTCGAGGAAGGTATTTTTTTTAATTTTGTATACTTCGTACTTACAGCTAGTTTTACAGAATCGACCTAATACAACTGTGAAGCATTTCTAAAAAAAAATATTATAATTAATTAGGTACAGTACATATCACAGAAACTGTTACCTTTACGAATTGGCTTTCAAAACAAGTGAAATTGTTTTACTACTTCAGCTACACGATTTAGGGTGTGTATGGTGCGAATAAAGGACATCTTGTTGAGTAAACTAGACCTGCCAGCAGCCGTGGCCACCAGCTCCTGTACACATACTCATTCGGTATACATAAATTTACTGCAGTACTCCTGGCTTTGAAGATACCTATTCCACCTTGCAATGGACAATCGTCTTCTCACTTTGCTTATATTTCTGAACTTCAGCAGTGCCTTCAACGCTGTTGACTATGATGTATTGCTTGCTTCTCTTCGTTCTTTCAATGTTTCTCCTTCGGTTTTAGCTTGGTTCGATTCCTATCTTAGAGGCCGCTTGCAGTGTGTTCGCTCTGAGGAGGCTTCCTCTGATTAATGTGACTTAGCTGCGGGCGTCCTTCAGGGTGGTGTTCTTTCCCCTCTTATCTTCTCCATTTTTATTAACTCTGTCACTTCTGTGTTGTCCTCAAACTTTCACCTCTATGCTGACGATTTGCAGCTCTACCGTAGTTTTGAAGCTTTCGTTGTCGTTGCAGCCGTTGAAGCTGTTCACGCTGATTTACGAAGCATCGCTTATTGGGCTGAATCTTTTGGGTTGGTGGTAAATCCCAAAAAGTCGCAGGCCATGATTGTGGGAAGTGTACATATGCGTGACACATTGGATCTAGATTCTGAGCCACTTATATAATATAATTTCACGCCTATTGCTTATACTTCTACTGCATCTAATCTTGGTCTACTTGTGGATTGTAATTTGGCTTGGACTCCGCGTATTAATGAAGTCAGTCGAAAAGTCCATTTCTCCTTGCACTCGCTTAAGCGGTTCCAAAACTTTCTGCCTTTAAAATCCAAAATATGTTTAGCCCAATCTCTTCTTTTACCCTTCTTAGACTATGCTGATTCTTGCTATTTAGATGCTACTGAAGAGCTGCTAAATAAACTTGAACGGTTACAAAACCTGTGTATAAGGTTCATCTTTGACGTTCGTAAATATGACCGAATCTCACAGTATCGCAGTCAACTCAAGTGGCTTCCCATTCGTCTCCACAGGAATTTGCATACTGTCTCTGTTTTCTATAATATTCTGCACAACCCTATGTCTCTCCCGGGTATCTGAAAGAGCGTTTCAGCTTTTTCAGGTTCCAGGATAATCCCCTGTCACTTTCTCGTTAGGTCCCAGTTATCTTTTCCATCCTTCAGTTCCGGTTTTTATTCTCACTCCTTCACTGTTCATGCGGTCAGACTTTAGAATGCACTTCCCATATTAATGGGAAGTCTATGATAGCAAATCCTTAGCAATTTTAAAAATGGGAGTTATGGAGCACTGTTTATCAACTGTTCCATCCATTTTATAGGTATTATAGTACAAAATATGTATTTATCTAAGTATTTATATTGTTTTAATAATTTTATGTTTTTGATATTGTTTTTCTTTATTATAATTTTTGTTTTGTTGTGCACGTAAATCCGTTATTGTAATTATTGTCTCCTGTATTTTGGTCTGCAGGAAGAAATTTCTGTTAGAAATAAGCACTACCTTGTGTTTGTGTTTTCCTTGTTATTGAATGTGCTTTTGTTTTTTTTTCTGTACAATAAATAATTAAATAAAATTAAGTAATACCACGCAACACTCGAATTAATCGTAGCTAGCGAGAGCCTATTATTGGGTAAACTATCACAAACTCGAATTTATTTTTTCCGAATTTCATTACTCCGAAAACGGTTCGACTTTTTTTCATTAGAGCGATGAGAGTTTTGATATAAATTTGCAACACAGAAATATCTTACAGCAGAAGTATCATTTGTCCGAAAACCTATTATTAGAATAATTATTACACATACTAGTAATCATGTTTGTTATACTGTCTGTTTTCCATATAATTTAGATTTCTGAAAATTCGTTTCGACAAAATTATTATTCTTAGATAAAATTGTACCGCCATACAATTTTACCGTACAGCTCCAAAATTCTGGACTATACTTTGCTGGTGCACAGCAAGTCCACTTACGTAATTTTCGTCATACCATTGTGCTATGTTTTTGCGGCCATTGCGGCCGGCGGGCGAGTGCCAGAGCCGAATTTATCTGCATTACCTAGACGGTACCACCCCCTCCTGTGGGTTTAGGTTAGGTTAGTATATGAAAACGCCGCACGAGCCGAACGAGCGAAGCGAGCGACTACAACTCGATCAAATTAACTTGCATCTCGTTTACCATATTTTCTAAAGATGCGAGGTGCTTTAATTTGACGTATTTTGCGACACGTTCTAATACTTTTAATATTTCTTATTAATAATATAACAAAAATGTATCATGAATATCGTTTTTTTCACAAAATAAAAATCTTCAATGGTGATATGGTTTATTAGGGAAATAAAAAACGGGAAAAGAATAACTTGTCAATATGTCAAAATAGTAAAACATTAAATGGTATTCATTAAAAATCTAAAGGTTTTCGGAGAAACAAAATTCTATAAATCTTTGTATTAATAATTATAACAAACTAGTGAAGTAATTTCACAAAAAAATAATTGAATATCTATTCAATAAAAATTTCTATAAATCATGTTTCTAGCTTGTGATAGGTAACCCGATTATCAGTGTCAACTTGTTATATCCAACCAACCACACCCAGTGCAAAAAAGGTTGGACACATCAGGGATTGAAAGATTTATACCTTATAAATTCTAAGGTATCTTGCGGAGACGTAGGCGCTAACCATGATATTACTGTTCCGGAAACACTGACCAATATTTCTATTAATATCTACTTACCAATATCCAGCATTTTCGGAAACTTAGAACAGAAGAAGAGAGTGAGGTGCATGAACACATTCATGGCCGACAGCAATGTGCATTTGCTCAAGATTAACGCATTAGTATTCTACAAAATCATCTCAGAATTTCCTAAAAACAAAACTCTCATGGAACAATATCGTGTAAATAATGAGGTAAGTGACTAACCAACCTATACGACTGTTAGGTGACATTTGGGTCTGTATGAGTAAGCATTAAGGGGTTAAAGTGAAGACGGGTAGGACATTTGGTTATGAGAAAAGAGGGACGATGGACCAAAGCAGTCACGGAATGTTGGCCAAAAGGAGCGAAATGGCCAATGGACACATCACCGACCCGACGGTAAATAAGTAACACCTGACTATTTTCCTAGAAGAACATAAATATGCTTACGCATTTGAATTCCCATTGAAATTGACGGAGACTATCGATTACCACTTTGCACGGTCCTGGTAAAACTCTCTTGTTTCACGTACATTCATCAATCTTTTCATACAAATCGTCTTATTCTTCTCAGTATGAGCTCCAACCATTTTAAGAATATTCTGAATTTCATCTAATAAGTTTATAGTGGACTTCCTTTTTTAATGTTGCTTTCATCGATTGCTTTCCATAGGCTCTTACTCACTTTCGTTCTTCCTATATTATGTACGATGTACACTATAGAATAACTCAGTCTGTACCAACGAAGCAACCTATTAGGTAACTTATATTTTTTCGCTTTGTGTCCAAAAGGATGATTATTTTTACAAAACTTATCGGTCTGCTGAATATGGTCTAAATTGGACATAGTTATGCAAACCCACAAAATGTCACTTTCGAGATAATTAGATATTTGTAAAAAGAGTGTGAAGAAATAAATAGGTAAGTTATTAGAGACAAACAACGTGAATTATGTGTAGCATTGAGAATGATATAGGGAAACTATATTATATAGCAATAAATAGAAAACATTATGCATCTTTTTATTTAGTTAACGAGAACCATGTTCTAGTTTTCGTAATAAAAAATCTAAAGATCTACAGCACTTCAGTGCATGTGACATGGATCCATTTAGCTTATTTTAAAAATACATTATAAGAAGTTAAGCAGCATGGTTCTTTTTAGCTATTAAAAAGTTACTTATTTAGGGTTGGCATCCTGAAGGACTTTTATTTTCTCCGTTTTGGCTTGATCTATTGCCAGGATCTTTTGTGAGCGGGTAAAGGACATGTCTGGTGTTCTACCTAAATACATAACTCAATTTCACTCGAGGTGTGGGTTGGTTCTTGTTTGCATAACTATGTCCAATTACAGATATCAATTTCAAGTAGATCTTTTTGTTGACGAACTTTGCGAGTGCAGTAACATATTTTACTAGGTATACCTAGACTAAACACGGTAAGAAACACGTCGACACTATATTTACTAGCAGCAGAGCCCCTTGTGAAAGAGTTCGTCCAGGGAATTACTGCCACCTTACCTATTTCAACCTCCTAGAAGGGTAAGGGTGATGGTAAAATTACAATCACATGAGACTTGTCAACTTATGTCTCAAGGTGACGGGCGTAGTGGCAGTGCCTCTCAGATCCTTGCGGTTTAATGCTCTGAGTGGCACTGCCTCTGTAGTCGAACAATTACCGTGCCGGATTGCCACGCAGAGGTCCCAAGTTCGATTCCCGGGCCGGTAGAAATACTTGTATGGCCTACATTTATTTCTCCCCTGAGTTTGAGTGTAATTTGTAGTTGTCTGTGTGTCCATGGCACACGCGACACAGGGTTTCCTTAGTGCGGGGCTATGTTTAAGGTGTGTAATAGTGCAACTGCTAAGGCCAGGCTTGTAGCTTACAATCAGGTGCACTACTTGTTCGTCCCGTTACTTGATATTATAAAAAAAGTCTGAAGCTAAGATAGCTGCGGTAGAGTACTCGTGTGTGTGAAATGTGCATTTTAATTCTTATCCAGAATTACATCATCGGAGGACAAATGGACACTAGAGCGATGCCGATTTGGAAAGAACGTACGCCCAGCTCAACTAACCTCTATGAGACGCACGAAGGCACGTTCAAATACTGCGATATGCAACGCTCCAATATCATGCATATATACTTAATCATTGTCAGCCTTTTGTCCATCTACACCGAAACTTACAATATCACCTTTCAAGACAACAGATTGCCACTCGTCGTAATCCTCTACCTGCTTGACTTCTTATTCTTTTTAAAGATGGTTATAAATTATGCTATGGCCAACGGCGTATTTGACACTAAAGTCAAATTGAACCTACTTAACGCGACAAAACGGTGAGTTTACTAGTTTTCCTTTATATTTTGAATTTTATTAGTCAGTATTAACATAATTGATCCAATCCAAAAAAGATAATTTCTAGGATCTACCAAAACAAATACGGTGACAGCCCAGTGGGAAAAACAGTTGGTTCCCAATTAAGAGGTCGATGGTTCGACTCCTGCGTCATTTGTGTATGTTTAGTAGTGATATTTTCGCCAACAGTAATGGGAAATTATTATGTTGACATCCACCCAAGAAGGTGTCTTATAAAACTCGTAAAATTCAATCGTCAGTGGACGCTTGTGCACTATGGTTAACGTGACCATACGTCCCGCTTTGAGCAGGACAGTCCTGCTTTTAAGCTTCTTATCTTGCTGTCCAGAACATACTTAGAAATGGAAATAGGACAAAATATATATAGCCAGCGCAGCAGACTATACAAGTTATTTTTTTACATTTTTGATCATTAAACATTTTTAGAAGTTTTTAAATTCTTTTTTTCATCATTAAACACAGTAATAATATTTAACTTATGTAATAATTATTAATACAAATATCGAACACTAAGAAAAAATTCCTTCGATCCGGCCGGATTCGAACCGACGTCTCCTAGACCTAGCAAATCGTACCAGACACTATGCCAACTAACCCACGGAATGAACCAGTGGACCTCACGAATTTTCCTACGTGCTTGTTGTTGGTTCTTTGTATTTGTCTGGCACTGTTTGCTAGGAGACGTTGGTACGAAACCGGCCGGTTCGAAGGAATATTTTCTATAAAATATCATAAACATGTTTTTATTTTTAAAACAATATAATAAATTCACAGGCGTCCCACTCTGAAGGAAAAAAATAATGGTCACTTTAACTATGGCCTAAACTATTTTCTTAAAGTATATCCGTGATTAGAAAAATGGGTTGAACGATGGTAATGATGACTAAAAACGACACATTGTTACGTAAAATAAAATGTTCAATATGAAAGCAATGGTGGATTCTATAGTTTTTTCCATAACTACGCCTGACGATGTCTTTATCACGGCTACCTATCAATAGTCCGAAATGACATTTTCCAGAAATAACCAATTGGTCGAAATTTCATAGCCTCGAAAGTAATTTTGAGAGAAAAATGTTTTTTATTTTAAAATTTTTTTTTTCTCTCTGGGAAACGCGTTACGCGTACCGCTCGGCTCGGGGGGAGCTGCAAGCGGTTATGTGTGACTCCCGGGCTCTAGCCCGGTATACACACTAAAACCCAGCGGTTAACCCCCACCGCCATAGCGAGGCACCCTGGATCCGCTTACGCATACTACAGGAACGCCTCGGCGGATGGTCCGCGTGAGCGGCCCCGGCCTTCTGAGAGTGCCCTGGGTCAACACAAAGGCACCCTCAAACTTGTGAGCATAGACTTGGAGATAGGGTCCCCCGACTCCTGTCCCCACGGCTCACTACAGCGAGGGAAGAAGGTGGGCGTACTGCCTCCTTCGTCTCCCCAGCCGCCGTCTTCGGAGCGGGTCGTCCTCTCTGAGCCGTTCCGAGGCCTCCTTGTGCGAAAGTACGCTTTCACAGAAGGAGGCCATTGCATTCCAACACCTCTGACTGTCGAGCATCGCGCTCACGATGGTCGACAGCGAGAGATCTCCGCCCACTACCGCGGTCAGGGAGTGCCGCTGGGGGCCCCATGCCGCACATTCTGCCACGGTATGACGCACTGTATCGACGGAAGCGCCACACTCGTGACAGACAGGGGTCGTCTCCCGACCTGCAACCCGGTGCAGGTATTCGCCGAAACATCCATGTCCGGTGAGAACCTGCACCAGTCTGTAGGACAGAGACCCATATCGCCGGTCGACGCAGCGGATTAGGTGGGAGCGAACTGCCTCCACCGTCACTAAGCCCGCGACTGGGGCCTCTAGATCCTCCGTCCATTTTCGGATTAAGGCAACGCAGCCCGCTGCCCTGATCCTCCCCAGGTCTTCGGCGGCCTTTCCCCCCTGGCCTGCATGGCCGCTCGGTATCGGTACACTTCCGCGAGCACCTCCGCCTGGAGTTTCCAGGGAGGATCGCCCGCCAGAAGAGTGGCCGCCGTCCACGACACCGTGCGATAACCCCGGATCGCTCTCACCGCTATGACCCTCTGCGGCCTCCGCAAGAAGGGTTTAAGTCGAGCGGTTTCGTTATAATTCGGCTTTCGGTGTAATGAAAATTCGAACAAACGTCATTTCGGAGAGAAAAAATTTCGACTTTGTTGTGGGTTACGCTTTATTACTAATCAATGACCGTAGATACTGCAAAGGAGTGTTCAAGTACGACGTCATTTCCTGTGTGCCCTTTGAGTTGTTCTGTTTTCTCGCACAAAATAAGTGGATGGCATTCTCTTGCTTAAGACTTAACCGGCTATTCCGAGCGGTGAGTATGGCGTCATTACCAGTCCCTGTTCAACCGTTGTAACTAGGATTAAGTAAATATCTCAGGGCAAGATATTTTAGATGTACTACTCCATATTTATGCACTGCAAAGGTGTAGAATCATTGGCAATATGACTGGTTTCGTACACCAAAGTCAAAGAATCATTGATTCCATAGGTAAAATAAATTTACACTTGAAAACGTCACTTTTACGCTACTGCACATTCACTACGCCGATTTCCCTGAGAAGAACGACCCACAAATTCTAGGGATGCTCTTTTCAAATAAACTTAAATGCTATGGAATACACTTTGAATCATATTTGTCTATCATATATATAACTTTATCTAACACGTAGTCTTCAATTTTGTAATATGACTTTTCAATTAAAATATTTTTAATATAGTGTTCAAACTTAGGAAATGATAATCTTAATATATGCTCCGGAATCTTATTGTAAAAACGTATACAGTTCCCCATAAAAGAATCGTTTACCTTGGTTAAACGAAATCGTGATACCATGAGTTTGGAGTTAGCTTTAAAGTTAATATTATGTATACTAAAACGAACATTAATTGTCGTATGTCTGAGTCATGATTCTTTTATATGTGAATTAAATTCATTGATAGAACGAGATTGACAAGATATGTTAAAAGCTAAATGGAAAATACGTTGCCCTGATACCTCTTTCGACTCTCTGAATTTCGACAAGTCCGACTATATGTTACTTCGACATGACTTTACTCAGGCACTATCCTACTCCGACAAAATGGTAGACCGTCAGTACATAGATAGTACGCTACTTCAAATTCAAATTCAAAATAATCTTTATTTCATAGGTAAGCATTATTACACTTGAAATCGTCACAATGGTTAAACTCTACCGCTCATTCGTAAGGCAGATTCCCCTGAGAAGAATGAGCAAGAAACTCTAGGGGTTGCTCTTTGTAAATAACATTTACAATATTTTTTTTTTAATTTGAAACATCAGAGATCGAGACTACCTCCATGAGCTAAATGGGTTACTACCACGGATTTTTGTCATCCAAGTACGCAGAAGTTGTATAATAATCTTTAGTATAAAGTTTTTGTTTCACTATAGTTTTAAACCTCGTGAAAGGCAAATTTTGTATATCAACCGGAATCTCGTTATAGAAGCGTATACATTGCCCCTTAAATGATTTTTTGACTTTGTGAAGACGACTATCAAGAAAAGCTAGTTTATTTCTATTCCTCGTATTAATAAATTAAATCTAATAAATTATCCATAGCCTGTGTGTGCTCCTTAATCTCCTGTTGCGCAGTTTCATATTTCTGTGTTATTAATTTTAATGAATTTGTTACACTAAGTAATTCTGCCTGGAGGCGCTGTGTGTCACATTCATAGCTAAGCCTATTTTTCTCAAGACTTCGATAATAATGTTACATCGACATGATTTTTTTTACACGGGCACTTTAGGATGACACTACATTAAAACACTCAAGTTTACTTCGGGATTTCTTGCTTAAATACGAGAATCTAAGCAAATTCACCATATTTTATAAACCTCAGCTTTAGTTAGGCGATATATCAAAAAAATTGTGTAGAAATTTGTTAACAAAAAAGAAACTAAAATGTAGAAGTAATAAATCATTGAATATTTATTTATTGCTTTTCATATTGCACATGCACACCCAATCAGGGTTCTAAAATTATAAAATGAGATCAATGTGAGCGAGTGACTTTTTTTTTCAGTTGGAAATTCATTTACAAAACAGTATGATTTTAAGACGAGATATTGTTTTGATTTATTTTTAAATGAGTTAATGTTATGTTCTTTTTTAAATAATTAGTAGTGAGAATTTATTACAGTCCATACAATGGCTATTATTATATTTCTAATTTAGATTCGTACAGGGTCCGTAATGTTATGTACTACACTATTATGGTCTGCAATAAAGTATTGACTAGATTCAGGGAGGATCAGGTGACGGGTAGTTTAATTAAATTCAAAATATAGTAAATGTTGATTGCTTACCTACATGAGTATATAACCAGAAATAGAGACAAAATAAGGGCCATCCATCCCTGGCCACTTATCAGGCAAATGGGCCTTATATCAGTTTTAAATATCAACTCTCGTTTACGCTGAAATCACAAGGTAGAAAGCTGAAATAGTACAGTGCCAACAACTGACCTGTGTGTACGTCTCAGTATATTCCAAAAATATTCTGTATTTATTGGAATAAAGATAATATCTCTAACTATGAGGGGCTGTTCCATTCGGTGGTGTGGGAAAAACAGCAAAACATCTAATTACAAAACAAACGGAATCACATTTCATCGGTAATTAAATATTAATATGTAATTATTCAATTTTCGTCCATTATAGCAAAGTTCAAGTTAAATTGGTCAATTTCAAGCGAAACAATTGACGACACTCGTTAATTGTTTCGAATTCGGGCTGGCCAATCGGAGCGCAGTTATCACTGTAATGATTTGGCAGAATAGTTTCAAACAAAATTAAATGACATTTTGTCTCTATTTCTAGTTATATACTCGATGCTTACGTACGACCATGCTACTTCCATGATATAAAGGGATTGGATAATAAGGGAACACTTAAGGTGGTCTTCTACTGGCGAGGCAAGACGAAACGAGTAGAGAGGAGAATTGAAATTTCGTCGACCTCGTTCCACCAAAAATTGCCATTAACAGCTGTTCAGTTCATCTAGCGATAGCTAAAGTAACATGTTCTGTAAATTATTATTATTAAATATGTTAACAGAAGAAGAATCAGATGAAACCATCTTTTTTCTGATTGATACTTATAGCCATCACGAAAAATCGTATTTTCGCTGTAGAATGTAACACTGTATGTAGACAGCAATACGGTTCAATATTACATCAACAAATATTTCAATTCTCACTTCGCCCATCCTCGTCAATCCAGACCTATTCCACCAAAGATGCGCGAGGAGACAACAAACACGAGGAGTGAACAAACTTGTTTTGCCTTGTCTCGTCTCGCCACGCCGTTGAAAAATCACCTTTATGCAGGTGACAATCAGCGAATGCATGAGAAAGCATCGCACCAAACCAAACATCAACCTGGTGCTAAGCATGCTCGTGTCGATGATCATTTGGTTCATGTTGTACATACACTGCATGACTTGCGCCTGGTGCTTCATCGGAAAACTTGAAGACGAGAGGGCGCCCAACTCATCGTGGCTACATTTGAGTTAGTGTTCCTCTTCTATCATTATCTTTAAGTTTGAATCGTAATAGATGTCCAAAACGTAAACACAGGGGATAATCTAACAAAAAACACATTTTAAATAGTAGTTTCCTATTTTTGACGATAATTAACGTTATGAATTATTTACAAACTGTAATTTAATAAAACTGAGAACAATTCATAGACTAAAAGACGATGTAAGGTTGTAAATAATTATATAAGGCTGTTAACACAATCGGGATAAAAAACATTTTTTTCCGCCATTTTGGCGTGTCACAGATGTCATCCATGTTACAAAGGATTCAAGTGATTTCAGTTCCTAGGGAGAACAATTCATTACAATAAACAATTAGATTTTTTCATAAATATTTTTAATTTATTAATTTTAATTATAATTTATCAGAGAGGTACCAAAACCTATATAACTATATAATGGAGAAATCAGTTTGAATAATCTTCTTTACATAATCTGTCGGCTCGATAAAATTATCGGAGCTAAAGTGTACGTCGCCCACGTCGCTTTAACACAGTAAAGAAAAAAACAGTGTCCATGAAGTATTCCATTTTTTCTGTTTAGGTTTGTCTATCAATAATAATTGAACTTCAAAGGCATGCTATGTCAAAAGTAAAATAAATGGTTTAGTAAAGACCTATCGTATCGTAGTACCCTAAGTGTAATAAGGCCACATCTGTAAAATATCAACTTTTCTGTAAAGAGGTTTGAAGGTTCTACGAACGAAATTCGTTGATAACTTACGATGTCCATAACAGTTGCAGTGCCACTCAGAGCTTTAAATCTCAAAGATCTGAGGGGCACTGCGCCCGTCACCCTGAGACACAAGTTGACAAGTCCCATGTGCCTGTAATTTCACCAGCACCCTTCAAAACCGGACCACATGCTGACATTACTGCTTGGCGGCAGAAATTGGTAAGGCGGTAGTACTAACCTGGACTAACTCTTTCACAAGGAGCTTTTCTAATGCTACTAAACTTTCGAATGGCCGTTGATGTAAATCCAAAAAATACTTAGCGAATATTAAATCAGTTTTAACATATCTTTTATTATACACAAAACACCTGTGACCAGCTGTGGGTGTTAACGGACTAAGATGTTGATGGTGATGATAATAAACATCAGTACTGAGTACTAAAGAAACCAACCTCAAAAGTCATTCATCCCCTAGTTTGCCACCCTTGGAGATAGAATATTTTTTTCTTCAAATTTAAATGGGACAACTACTGAGGTTCCTTTCCACCAAAAAATAATCATCAATATCGGTTCACAAATCCGGCCGGAGTTATCGTGTAACATACATACAAAAAGACAGTCGAATTGAGAACCTCCTCCTTTTTTTAAAGTCGGTTAATAAAGAAAAGACAGACTATGAAGAAGCTACAGAGACCTATCACGTGACCATGCTTTTGGCCGGTTTATATGTAGTTGTTACAGTCAGCAGCAACCAGCCTATGAAAACAAAGTTTTAAGTTCCGAAAAATAAGATTTAGTGTTTATTTTAGAACGTAGCCCCGCACTAGGAAAACCCAGTGTCACGGGTGCCATGGACACACACATAGACAACCACAAATGTTGAGTGTGTGCGTTATTTACGGGAGAAAATATATGAAAGTCTATTTCGAATTTGTTTATTTTAATTCAAATTCCAAATTCCATTTACACTTGCCACTAACATATATGTACGTAGTAATTAAAAACACAAAATTATATCTATGGTCATAGATGTATGGCGAGGATTCTGACCTCATTTATGTTTGCACAACACTGATTTTCAGCATGAACCTCTCTGACAGGAACTGCGGTCTCACGTTTGTGTAACATGTACTTTACGAAACAAAATAAGCACAGACAATTAATTAAGCTATTTAGGAGGAGCGCGAAAGTAGAAAAGAAAACAAAATAATAATTATAATTTACACAATAAAAACCAATAGCGATTGTCAATTTTCAAACAAGATAACATTTCTTTAAATGGTAAAAAGCGGAATAAAAAAGAATGAAAAAAACGTTTGAAAGGAAACAAAAAAAACACAAGCACAACAGTTATCCCAAACAGATACTTACAAAATGTGTCTAAAATTTACAGCATATTTTAATGACCCGGGAGTGATTCAGCATACTTCTTTTGGGCAAAATATTTTCCTCAGTTTCATGCAAGGGTGGTGGTAAATCACTCCAGATCGTGACTGCTGCATGCTTGAAACCCTCTCTAAAGCCAGCAAACATTTAAGTCCAAACTTAAGTTTAATTTAGTTATTTTAACCATTTGTGTTGCAGATACGACTACGGCACCTTGCCAATGGCCACTCTAAAGCCAGCAAACTTTTAAGTCCAAACTTAAGTTTAATTTAGTTATATTAACAATTTGTGTTGCAGATACGACTACGGCACCTTGCCAGTGGCCATATTTGTGTGCGTTTTACTTTACACTGACCACGTTCACGATTGACGGCGTGGGTGACATCTTACCGAAAGTACAATCAGAGGTATCAATTTCAATATCGTGTGTTTTTTACTGAGACAGTATGGGGAAATCCGAACCCAAAGAAGATACGAGGAAACTGTCTTAGGAAAAAATTAAGTATTTTATCTACACACATATCATAAACTCTGTATATTGTGTTCAAAAGCAAAAATACTCAAACATCAATATCATATAAAATCTTAGAGGATGGAACATAAAATACTATATTAAGTATGGAAAACAACTTTGACATTGTCATGATTTTTGGTCAAGTTGGAGTTGTCCATTTATTTTTTGAAAACACCTCACCGTACAAGGTTTTTGTTTAAATCATTGGTTAAATTTTTATTGAATGTTAGAATGTTTCACCATCACGATATAATTTTTTTTTGTGAAATAAGTCCACTAGTTTGTTATAATTATTAATACGAACACTTAGGAAAAAATCCTTTGATCCCATTGACTTACAAATAAATGGACGACGGGTCTAATACAAAAACCACGAAAAAAATGTCCCAAGTCAACCTATTCGAAATTTAAATTGTAATGTCATCGCAGTATCGCGCTGTCAGTAGAACAAATGAAGACTAAAGCGGAGTTTGGCGCTCTGTATACGATTTTAGCGCCCTACAAGTGCGGACACTTTTTAGCGCGGACCCGACGTCCATATATTTATTTATTTATTAAACTTTATTGACCACAATACAAAGGGTACAAAAGGCGGACTTAATGCTAAAAGCATTCTCTACCAGTCAACCTCTGAGAAAAACGAAATTCACGAACGCGGTAAATAAACAGAATATTACGGTTATATTAAAATAAATGAAACAAATTCATAATTATATATATAACAAACTAACCTAATACCTTACTTAATAATATAATACATACACTTACATACATACAAATATACTATACATATACAAAATACTTACAATAACAGAATATGATGATGATTATTGCTGTGACAAACAATTTAGAAGATGCTCATGGACATTATTTTTAAAAGAAAATATATTAGGAGACCGTCTGATGGCGTCCGGTAGAGCGTTCCAGAGCCGTATCGAGTGGAGAGTAAAAGAATCTGACATGAAGCCAGAATGAAAGAGAGGTACAGAGAGTGATAGTGAATTCATGGAACGAAGTGGGAGGTCATGAGAGTCACAGAGATACTGAAATTTACATTTCAAGTATTCTGGATAGTGGGGATTGAAAAGAACGGAGTACAACGTACAGAGAATTCTTTTCTGTCTGCGTTGACGAATAGGGAGCCATTTAAGTTGAGACCTAAAAGAAGAAACATGATCAAATTTCCGAAGGCAGAAAATGAAACGAATAGCATTATTGAGCAGGCGGTCCAACTTGTCTAATAGATTTTCGTTGAGATCAGGATAACAGACATCAGCATAATCAATGAGTGGGAATATAAGGGAGGTGACGAGCAGGGTCATATAATTCATATCGAGAGGAGCATATAATTGTAAGTCAATGTTTGATCCGGCCGGATTCGACCCGACGTCTGCTATCAAACCGCTCCTAACTAAACCACGGAAAGAACCACCTTACGAATTTTTCTGTGCTTGTTATCGGATCTTTGTGTTTGGTTTTCAATGACTTAGCCGTAGCGCCATCTATGAAAAATCTATGAAAGTATTTCGTCACCCGGTTAGGTACCTTTACAGCTGCCAACCCTGCTAAAAATGCGCTATTAACTGTAATTATTTTTTTATTGAATTTCAGAATGTTTCTACCATGATATCCAATTATTTTTTGTGAAATTCGAATCCGGCCGGCTCGAAGGACTTTTTTCTAAGTGGTCGATCTTTGTATTATTATAAAATTCGTTGGTGTTAAAAAAAACATTAAACAAAGCTGATTTCTAGTAATGAAGAAATACGTGCTTGAGACACTTTTGATGTGTGTATATAACATACGCGTTTTTTTTTGTACAGCTAATTAATTTTAGTCATATAGCCTGAGAGCGCTGGTTCGAACCCAGCCGGATCAAATCGGTACTTGGTACTTGGTGTAACGGGCTGGTGTCCGGATCAAATGATTATGTCTAAGTGTTCAATTCGATCTTTGTTATTAATAATTACAATAATACTGAAACTAAATAAGATATTATAATTGTCTTATATTGGACAAACAAAGCGAAGTATTTGTACCCGCGTCAAAGAACATATAGCTGATGTCAAACACCGTCGCGTAAACAAGTCTGCAGTCTGCGAGCATGTCATGGATAAACCTACACATTCAATGAAGTTTGACAAACCCCAGGTCCTTGCAAAAGAAGTCCGTTATCTGCCCAGGATGCTGCGAGAGGCCATTGAAATTAAAAAACATCCTAATTTCAACAGGGAAGATGGTTTCTCCGTACCACCAGTTTGGGATCCAGTATTTCCTCTAATGAAAAATCCCAAACAGACATAATACTGCAGTACTAATTAATATGTTTTAGTTTATTCTAATTTCTATTAATAATTAATAATAAATTAAACTTAATAAAAATTCATTCAATAAAATGATTTGTAAAACTTAATGTAGCGTAAATTGGAATGTTTTCTTTGTAAAATTAAAAATAAGGTATTTAATTAATAACTATTGTAACTATAGTGAAAAAATAGGGTGGTTTGCATTAATATTAGACATAACTGGTTGAAGACTGTACCACCTCAGTCAACCGTGACCATGGGACCTGTAAAGGGCCCGAAACGTCGGTTTGTTTGAAAAAACAAATATACGCGATTTAAATCCGGAAAAATAGTTTCATTTTCTATGTGTAACAATCGCGAAAACCTAAGAACTCAATAAAAAAAAAAATTTCGAAATCGGTCCCCAGTTGGTGGAGAAATCGATGAGAACACTGAATTATGCATATAAAATTTGAGAATTTTCCTCGATTTCACTGAGATCTCCTCATTTTTCGGATCGGATTCTCACTTGGTGACTATGGGACCACCTCGAGAGTGCATACTTTCAAACAAAAAATAACTTTCAAAATCTGTCCACAATTGACGGAGAAATATGACAACATACATACAGCCGAACGTATAACCTCTTTTTTTTTAAGCCGGTTCATAAAAACGGCAGATTTACTTACTAGCAACATCCAGTTCATTAATTGAATTCGGTTTCTATCAGTTATCTTTATCCATTATATTATAAAATATATATGTATTAACGTTATTGCTGCAGGTCATCTTCACGTGCTTCCTGCAAATAGTTTCCGTTTTGCTGTACATGATTTATGTGGGCGGATTTTCCTACATTATACGGTACAAGTCTTTCAGATTCTTTGAGTTCTGCGCCAAATACGCGGAGCTCTTGGTAAGTGCCATAAATGACCACATTTAAATGTTCTTGCATGTCTGGAACATTAAATTATTGTTTTCACTAAACTAGTTATACGTTAATAAGTATATTATTCATCAGTCGCGCTCGCAATTTTGCACTCCACGACGCACCAGTTTCACGTGGTCTAGCCTTTACACGTACGCTCTTTCCGTTGTAACAAAAAAGGACACGAGCAATCGTGCGCGAAAGAACTATTAAAAAATTTATTACTATTATATTAAAAAATTCCAACAGGTAATCACGCGCGATAGAGTGAATGTGTAAAGGGGGGGGCTAATGTTTGATTACAAAAAGAAGGCCCTCAGGCTAATTATAAATAAACAAGCCTTTTCGATATCTAGCGCTGCTTTCTTTTGTTGATAAATTTGACACATTATAACAAATACCAATCAATACGCCATTTAATTGAACCTACATAGCCTCAGAGAAAAATGGCTTCCCACGGCCCATAGTTTCACATGTAGCACCAAGCGAGTTCACACCAACGTGCCGTGAGAAGAGTGCAAACAGACATGGGCGACGCCGGCGCAGACTTGCCTGTAGAGGCGTTTTTGTTCTTCCGTGGTAGAGGCCCGTCGGATGCGCAGTGTGTCGATAACTGCAAGGGCGCGCGGCGCGGCCCTTGGGTAACCACCACCACTATATAGATCAACATTTGATTTATAGTACGAAATTCTTTACGTGTTAACAATTCTGCAATCTGCGAGCATGTCATGGATAAACCTGCACATTCAATGAAGTTTGACAAACCCCAGGTCCTTGCAAAAGAAGTCTGTTATCTACCCAGGATGCTGCGAGAGGCCATTGAAATTAAAAAACAGCCTAATTTCAACAGGGAAGATAGTTTCTCAGTACTACCAGTTTGGGATCCAGTATTTCCTCTAATGAAAAATCCCAAACAGACATAATACTGCAGTACTAATTAATATGTTTTAGTTTATTCTAATTTCTATTATTAATTAATAATAAATTGAACATAATAAAAATTCATTCAATAAAATAATTTGTAAAACTTAATGTAGCGTAAATTGGAACGTTTTCTTTGTAAAATTAAAAATAAGGTATTTAATTAATAACTATTGTAACTATAGTGAAAAAATAGGGTCAATCAATATTAGACATAACTGGTTGAAGACTGTACCACCTCAGTTAACCGTGACCATGGGACCTGTACAGGGCCCCAAACGTCGGTTTGTTTGAAAAAACAAATATACCTACGCGATTTAAATCCGAAAAAATAGTTTCATTTCCTATTAAGTAACTTTTTAAATTTGTGCGTTTTTAGTCACTTTTATAATGAATACTAGGTAATTTGTCCTAAATTTTCACCACTTTCATGTGTGATATTTATTTTGTCATAGTGTTTTTGAGTATCTTCGTGTTTATATTAAATAATGCGTAAGTTTTACTATCCATCTCGAGGACTGCAATCATACTGTGAGCTAATCGTTTTAGGCTTATATGAAAAGTACTCGCGTGTCGAAGAACCTAATGAAAATGATAAACAAGTATTCCCTGCACCTGTGGCGGGAATCGCGCGGCGTGCAGATGCCATACTTTTTGGAAACGGCGCCGCAACACCTGCAGACGAAGGTCATGAGCGCCGCTTATATGACGCATCTTACTCAGGTGCGTATATGAATACTGCTTTAAATTCCAGATCTTCCTGTAGAAAAATGTTTGTCAGTTCCAGATATCGCTTCAAACGTAATTTAACAGAATTTGATTTATAGTTTACGTAATGTATTTTACAAAGTCTTAGATAACATTGTTAGGTGTTGTTTTCTAATTATTACAGCGTTATCTACGAATCACATTAACTAGTCTCGATTACGGTTTCTTTGTTTACAAATGTCAGTTTCAACGATCAAATTGCTGAGTTGGCGTAAGAGGTGGAGCTGGTGTCGTTTGAATCTATTCAGTTTAATCAGTCATCTGACTCAGCTCAGATCATGTAACGCATGATAATCGTTGGCTGAGTTACCATATAATAATAAGTAGTAACGTTGATGGTGAATGCTTTACCATGTCAACGCGAACAAGATGGGCTATTTTGTGTGAGTTACTCGGAAAGTGAACTGTCGAGCGCGGCCATTCCCTGTGAATTTACAGCGTGACATAAAAATCTATTTTAACCTGATCCATCTTTTGTATTTTTGATTAATTAAGCTGTGAAAAGTGGATAAACGAAATAAATGCAATAAAGTGACATTGTTTCACCACTGTTCGTATTGATAACGAAGAGTGAATAGGCGAATTATCAATGTACGAACGTTTCTTATTTCATTCCTGACTAAATATAATTAGCGTGTTTCGCTCAATGCCTCCCCGACAACTATATTCCGACATTATGATGGCTAGATACGTGATAATAACATAAATATGCTCTGTTGCAGCATCCTACGTTCAGAACTTGTGAGCCTGCATTCAATCGCCAACTTGTGAGGCATTTGCGAATGTACTTTTATGATGACGGTACGTCTTTACAAATTTTTGGGGTAAATAGATTGCTAGTTTCAACCAACTAGTTTTTTTACTTTTGCGAACTAAAAAAAAAACCATATTTAATTGACATGCAAAATACATGATACAAGCAATTTGAAAATATTAAATAATTCGTTCATAAATACAAAGAAAATAATAGGGAAAAAAATAATAATAGAAAAAAGTTAAAACAAATAAGCAAAAAAAAGCATGTCAAAAAGGTCCATGACTCAGTATTTGAGTTGTTCATAGAGCAGGTAGCCGATGGGGCCAAAGAGTACTCGAATAACAACCGCATACCGGAAGACGCAGCGTCAGACTACCCACAAGGTCGACCGAACCTGCTGAAGGTTGTGGGAATCCATGCAAGCTACGAAAGACCGGTGCAGCGATTTTTGGTTGAGGTCTATGTCGTGAAATGATGATGAAGACCGTATAACCTGGACGTGGGAAAAATTTGGAAGTTATAATTATTTATACAAAGATCGAACACTCAGAAAAAACACTCAGAAAAAATTCCTTCGATCCGGTCGGATTCGAACCGACGTCTTCTTGCATACCGTGCCAGACGCTATACCAACTAAGCCACGGAACGAACCAACGGACCTCACGAAATTTTTGTGTGCTTGCGTCGTGTCTTTGTACTTGGTCTTTCAACGACTTTTTAGTCGTAGCGCCATCTATGAGAAATCTATGACAGATTTATCACCCAGTTAATACCTTTACAGCTACCAGTCCTGGCGAGAGATGTCGCTATTCACTGTATTAATTAAATTTTTATTGAATTGATATTCAATTATTTTTTGTGAAATTACTCCACTAGTTTGTTATAATTATTTATACAAAGATCGAACACTCAGAAAAAACACTCAGAAAAAATTCCTTCGATCCGGTCGGATTCGAACCGACGTCTTTTTGGATACCGTGCCAGACGCTATACCAACTAAGCCACGGAACGATGAACGTCTTATGAAGTCCCTAACTCCCGTTAGACCAGCCACTGTCTATGCCTCTAATTAAACCCTATTTTCAGACGAGACCCGTACTCAGTAATGAAAATACAACCCATTCCCAATAAATAGTAAATACTGAGTACACGGATGAATACACTACATAGCCTATGTTTTGTTTTGTTATTTTTGGAATTACATCTATTTGCCAAGTTTTATTGATATCGATTACCGGAAAGTGCGCGAAACCGGATTCATCCCCCAGTTTGACCCAAAAAAAGTACTCTCTTTCCAACAAAAAAAAGAATCAACAAAAACGGTTCAAAAAACCAAATACAAAGACACAACAACAAACACATAGAAAAATTCTCGCTGGTTCGTTCGGTGGCTTAGTTGGTATAGCGTCTGGCACGGTATGCTAGAAGACGTCGCCGTCGGTTCGAATCCGGCCGGATCGAAGGAATTTTTTCTTAGTGTTCGTTCTTTATATTAATAATTATAACAAACTAGTGGAGTAATTTCACGTAAAAAATAATTGAATATCAATTTAATAAAAATTTCAAATCAGGTTTCCTCGCTTTTTTTTCATTTATTGCTATTGCTCTTCTGAATAGGTGGTCTGGTTAGTGTTTCTCAAATTTACATGATTCTAAAATATACAACTGAATTAGGAACTAACACTACAGATCGCTCGTGTTTTAAATTTGCTATTTTAAAGGAAATAAATTCTTCCTGAACCATGATTCATTATTAATAACGTGTTTACAGCTATGTACGTGGTAAAACAGAACGAGATCACCGATTCAATGTATATGATCCATAGAGGCACCGTGGAAGAGGTAGCTGAAGACCTGGAGGAACAAACACAGCTGCTCAACGACGGTGATAATTTCGGCATTGTGAGTGTTCTATATCAGCAGATATGTTATATACCTTTTATATACAAACACTATGACTTTTTGATATTATTATATAAAGATTATAGTTTCTTAATAAAATGTTTTGCTTCAGCCGCAGGGATTAGAGCGCAACACGCCATTCACGTTCTCCTACCGAGTCATTGGCAAGGCGCAGATTCTCACTCTAAGTCTCGATGATTGGAAGTATTTAGTGAAACATTTCCAAAAAAGCAAAAATGTAATATTCAAGGACAAAGACATAGATCAAGACAGAAAACTGGATCATGTAGTAAAGAAGGCAACAGTGAAGTCTACACCGGATAAATCAAAAACAGATGATTTACAAGCAAAATTGAGCCCCGATATCGATATTGCAAGAAGTTTGGATGATCGCCAAGAACTTACAAACGTAGTGCCAACAGTTTCATCACCACCTGCAGAGCCTGAAATAATAAAGGCTGTAGTCGAAGCTCCACTTACATTTAAAGACACGATTAAAGAGCCTGTCAGTGCTCAAAAGCCATCGGACACTAATTCAGGTCTTAATGTGGAAACGACAAAATTTTTGGAAGATCACCAAGAAACGGAAGTATTTCCCGTTGGAACTATTGCTATACCGTCATCTGAATCAATAAATACAGTTACTACAACAATGCCAACAACGCTTGGTACCACAGCAAAAACCATGACAAAGCCTATCACACCTGAAAGGTCAGTTAGTGAAACGAAACCTTTGATTTCTGCGGAAACTTTAAAAGATCTTCAATCAAATAGCAAATTAAGAGTTGGAAGGGAAACAGCTAACACTTTTGAAGAACAAGCACAAATAGAAGAAACTTTAACAGATATAACGCCATTTAAATATAAAGTTGATGCAGAAGTTGATATACAAAAATATACAGAAGAACCGCCACTCAACCAACTTAAATCGGAAACGGATATAGAAGATGGAGAAAATATACCACTCAAAAAAGAGAATCTTGGTCAGCTACCTGCTAAAAGTACTGAAAAAATATCGTCAACTAGTAGTAGTATACGTGCTTCCAAAGAATCTTTAAAATCAGAAAAAGCTATGACACTGGAACTCCCGGTGGGTTATTTTACTAACCCTAAATCGTCAAAAACAAATTTGGAGTCATTTTTTATTGGTGAAAATCAGGACGTAAGTCCCGTTGCAAAAGTAGCACGAGATCTTTTGCCTACGGAAAACCTACAAAAATCTGATGACATAGAAGTACACACGCGCTTCGAAGCAGGTGAGGATGAAGATTCTAAGTTTACTGTTAGACGCAAATCTACACTTACCATTAACAGAGACGAAATTGACGTAGAATTAAAAATGTTAGAAAGTGACAATAAAGAGGAAACTGAAAATGATATTCCCAAATTCTTTGATCCGGTAACAGATAAGGGTTCATCGCAACCAGGTTATTCTCATAACAGGAGGAAAACCGAGTTCTTTACCCTAGACCCACATGATTTTGCAAGAGTAACAGGAAATGAAAAAAACAAAGAATATCAAGATTCACCACTCAAAACCGAGAACCTTGATCAATTACATGCTAAAACTGCAGAAATATCATCAGTCGGTATACGTCCTTTTAAAGAATCTGTAACTTCCAATGTCACACCCGAAAAGGATGAATCAGTGGAACTTCCGATAGGTAATTTAAGTGACCCTAAAATCAAAACTGAATCAATACGTAATAATAACCTGTTTTCTTTAAAACCAAAACCCAAGCCGCTTTCTAGTCCTGAAAAGGAAGCCATGGATCCTGTTGACGATATAACACATGATCTTTTGAATAAAGTTAACCGAGAAAAATCTAGCGATACCGAAACACGCTTGAACACGCACTTCAAATCTGATTTATATGAAGACACCAAGTTTATTGCTAGACACAAATCTACTACGTTCGATGTTAACGGAGAAGAAATAGAAGAAGAATTAAAAATGTCAGAAAATGAAAAGGACACTGGATCTGATATTACCAAATCCTTTGATCCGGTTACAGATGAGACTTCATCGCAACCAGGTTATTCTCACAACAGGAGAAAATCTGAGTTCTTTGATTTAACAAGCAAAACAGAAGATGAAAAAGGCATCATCATATATCAAGATTCATCGCGCGAAAACGAGAATGTTGATCAATCACATACTATAACTATATCTGAAAAATTCATTAAAGGTCAACCATCGCAAAGTAGTATTCCCAAATCATTTTCAGCGGCAAAAGAAAGTTCACCGGAAACAAATACCTCTCATAATAGACAGAAGTCAACCTTTTACACCACAGACTCACATTATTTAGACACGGGGGTAAAAGAAGACGTAGACGTGTATTCAGATAAACCACACAAAGAAGCGACTTTAAATGTTTTACTGTCACCGACAACACAAATATCGCTTGAAAGTTACAAATACGAGCATTCTACAACGGAGCTAACTACTCATCCAACACAGGCCACAACAACCAAAAACCCGTCGGCAATGCCTGGACCCGACTACAAAACATTTGATGCTGGATATAAACATTCACTCTTTCTCTCCTTCAGGGACAAGATTGATACTTTTGAAGTATCGAATGATGACGCTGAAGTTCGTTCTGATGAAGGCGTTACACATGTAAATGAAAAGGACAGTGTAGCGTCAATGATTGCTTACGCCGACGGTGTTGCGATGAAGAAAGAAAGGGCCGAACTGTCAAAAAGCAAAAAGTCAGAAGACAGCGACAAAAAGAAAGATTGAAAGAAAATAAATATAATAATAATCAACGGTAATTAATATAATAAACGACAGAAAACATAAAAAAATGAACTATTAAATTACATAGTAATAAAAAACATGCCTGACGCGATTTAATAAATTAAAACGGCCCGAAACGTCGGTTTGTTTGAAAAAACAAATATACGCGATTTAAATCCGGAAAAATAGTTTCATTTCCTATGTGTAACAATCGCGAAAACCTAAGAACTCGATAAATTAAAAATTATTAAATTTTTGTATTATACAACAATTATTCCATTACATAAAGCGTTATAAAATATTATTTTCCCATGCGTTGTGGCTCTTTTTCTTAATTGACTTATTTTGAATTGAAACTGGAGCGCAACGAGTCGCGACACACTATGTGAATGAAATATTAATTTTCATGGAGACGCGGTTCCAAGACATTCGGGCCGTTGTTACATGCAGCGTAATTTACGAGAACTCGGTTCTCGGTCGGTTTATCCTGAAGAACACAGTTCTCAGTCTATGGTGGCCCCAACTAATGAGTTTGGGCCACCATTGTTACGCGAGTGGTTCTTGGAATTATCACAAAAATATTGTGGTTATTGCCTAATGCAGATGAAATTAAATATGCCTGTTTAATTTCTTGGTGACTGGGCTGCTCCGGATTCGTTCAGATTTTTCTGCCGTAATTTGTTCCAACGGCCACCGGACCTGTGCTCCAACTAGGTTCTCCATCTAGGTAAAACATTTAATACTTACGGGTCCTCATGCTTCCACTGTCAGTAAGTAAGAGTCATCTAATCGAAAATTGAAACGAAACTAGTGTACCATGTTTTCTTTTGACAAATTAAAATGACCATTACATATTACCAAAGTAAACTATAACAGAAAGTTCATTGGGACCTAGACTGTTACCGTAGTTTTTCCAAACTATGACCCAGTGAGATTTAATTGTGATTTTGAGCATCTAAAACAAATGGGAGAGAAAATTCTCAGTAGTTCTCCGCAGAAAACTGTCTATTTATTAACAGAAAAAATGGGAAAAAGTACCAGTAGGTAATTAATATTATATAGATTCAGGCGTCACTTTGCAAGTCCATTCATTTGAAGTCCACGTTAATAAAAATGGAAATTAATTAATTTGCTACTCTAAAAAATATTATTCAACACAAGCGCACCTAATTTGCACGATTTAACCTTCACTAGGTTCGCGGAGTAGCAATTAATTATCTTCCGTTTTTATTAACTACCAGTAGTTCTGTTAATAAAACTAGTGGGAATAATGGAAATCAACTCGTCTCTTTCACTCATTGACTAAAGTCAATGCTTTCACTGTATTTTCTGTAACATGTTTTTGCTTATGTATATTCTTTTCAATATTCTTCTCAATTCCTTATGCTTCGGGATCGCGCTCGTACTAAATTCTCCTACTGGTAGGAAGCACGAAGACATCAACACTCTCAGCGCCATAGAACAAATTTTGAAACAAACATTTTTATGATGCAGCAGGCCATGTGGGAGGCATGCGGGACACGCATTTTTCACTGCACGCCATACCTGATCTCGAGTAACTTTTGTAGCAGACCATGGGCTACCGGCGGGACACCTTTAAACTTTACTAGCAGGCCGCCTGTTACGCCGTGATTCCACTAAAACAGACAGATGTCACCCCTAGGGGCGAGATTGATACTTGATTAAGAACCAAACAATTGGCAATTCGCCGAATGCACAGCTTATATTGTCGGCCTGGCGATGCAACCTTTAACTGGTCAGGACTACAAAAATCGAAAATAAATTGTAATTCCTATTTGTGGTACGCTGGCGGCCCACATGGCCTGCTAGATAAAATTCGAAAATACATAGTGGCCTGCAGCAGTCAAATTTTTGTGGGCAGCCCATATGGCGCTGAGAGTATTGTCCTGGTTGTCCTACTACACAAAAAGACATTAAGGAATAGCTACTTATTTTGCAGGTTTTCTGATTCCGGTATCAACTTCATGCAGTCGAGGTCTCGGATAACGACTTCACGCATTAACTGCATGCAGTCGAAGTCGACTTCATGCAGCCGAGACCTCGATTGCATGAAGTTGATTATGACTTCACGAATTAACTCCAAACAAGCAGCACAATCTGTTAGCAGCCTTACGGCTGATACCATGGATGTCTATGTCTGATGTCAATTTTTTTAGAACTGTTCCAAAGATTTTGTGTGAAATCAGTATAGCATCATATTTTAGCGAAAAAATCATTGACTTACAAATAAATGGACGACGGGTCTAACACAAAAACCACGAAAAAAATGTCCCAAGTCAACCTATTCGAAATTTAAATTGTTATGTCATCGCAGTATCGCGCTGTCCGTAGAACAAATGAAGACTAAAGCGGAGTGTCGCGCTCTGTATACGATTTTAGCGCCTTACAAGTGCGGACACTTTTTAGCGCGGACCCGACGTCCATATAATTGTAAGTCAATGGAAAAAATACTAAAAATACACGTGACAAAATACTTTCATAACTTTCTCATAGATGGCGCTACGGCTAAAAGTCGTTAAAAACCAGATGTAAAGATCCAACTAACAAGCATATAGAAAATTTCGTGAGGTCCGCTGGTTCGTTCCGTGGTTTAGTTGGCATAACGTCTGCCACGCTTTGCTAGATGACATCAGTTCGAACCCTGGCCGGATCAAAGGAATTTTTTCCAAGTGTTTGATCTTTGTATTAATAATTATACTAAAAATACATTTGCAATCTTGAATGTAGATGACGATGACGATGACGACGACGATGACGATGACCCGAAAATACTCCTTCACCCAGGTGGGGAACCGATAGAATGTGTTGAACTGACGTGCACCATACTGATCGTCCATGTTGCACCATACACAGACGTGGGCTGGGATTCCATTCCTATGTTGTGGATATTCCCGGAATTCCCTGCCTGCGGACGTATTCCCCGAACGCTATAACTTGGACCTTTTCAAGTCATGAGTGAATAATGCATGCTACATCGTCGATCTTATCATCGCTGTCCATTAGGTGAGATGGAGGTCAAATGCGCAAAAAAACAAAAGAAAAAACATGAAAAAGGATATCATTGTGTCGCACCATGCACCAATAATATTAAGAGGACTGCTCCTCTCCATACTCCAGATCGTAATTCTGAAACGTCAACATTGTCTTAAAACTAGATGGCGCTGATCTGAATAGCCTGGAACTAGTTTATCGTCGCCTTTCTCAAACTCGTATCTTATAGCACAAACTAAAATGCATTGTATGCACAAATGTTCTTCTTGGCGTGTCGAATCTGAGGTTTATATTTGTGAGGGTACTTAGCTACTGAGATAGCATTATCAGTAGCGTTGTACAGGTCCTTGCGTGTGCAGGTGTAGGGACACGCAGGGCAGGACAAAAGATTGTCTGGGGAGAGACACCCGAGCTGTAACCCCAACCGTGCATGCACTCCTTGCTTTGGTCCACTTGGGTCCGCAGCCTATTTAGAGACTTCCAAGTTTGGTAGATCATGCCCACGAGAGAGGTGTACCGACAGCGGGCTGACTGACGCCGTGGGGCACCTCTTCGTCCAGAGACTTATTCGGGACTGCTTAGTTTCCCCGTCCAGAGGGTATACTTCTTTAATGAAGCTATGGCAACTCTTTAGCCTCTGGATTACCGGCGCGTGATAATGTAATGGGTGCCGCGGGTCAGTCTTCTTTTTTACAAATGCTGTACAAATGTTGCAGGCTGATTTCTCTTCACATTTCATATTCACACACTTTTACCTGTTAAAGCAATGCATTCGAATTAACACCCTTGATAAGAAATTTAAAATAAAAAGTTTTGCTATCTCCAGTACAATCAGTCTAAGATCCGTGTTTGAGAAAGTAAGGCATTTTTTCCTTGAATGTTGATCATGAGCGAAAATAGTTTCCTGAACTTCGACAATATGTGTGTCTATAACCGCTCACGTGATACATGCAGCCGTAGACACATACCACACCTAGAGGTACCGGTGATGGTTTTATACCGATTTATCGGATATCGAAGTTATAACAGGTAAAAGAACTAATATTAATTGCTATTTCGGTAACTACTCTAGCAAACCATAAAGTTTTTAATGTCTGGGTCTGTCATTTAAAAAAAAACAACTTCAAAAATACGTCACGACAATCGTGTGTGTTATTGTTTGGGCTGGTGATTTCGGTGTTTATTTATTGAAAACATACCGTAAGTAGCATTTTTTTAAGTTTACCCTGAATATAAATGTTTATTAACTATACATTAAGGAGTAATTTCATGGTAAACGTTAGAACCACTCTCCGTTATCATATTTATCCAAGTACACCAAAAATTTCAATAGTGCTTTTTAAGTGCAGGATTTGCCGTGTATTACTGCATTTTATTTGAGATGTTTTTGTTGGTAGTACGGAGGGTATTTATTTAGCAATGCAGAATAATAATTTTTATTTTTAAAAACTTGTATTTAAACTGAATGCTTTTCTAATTTGCGAAACCAAATAACCGCCATTTTGCGGTAGGAGGAGCGCATCGCGTGAGCGGATAAGTTAACATTACCAATTATGGGTACAGAAGAAGCTAATCCTAAACAGAAAAGAATAACCTGCACTATCCATAAGAATATGTGCAATAAGCACCATCTAGTTGATTTATTTGTTGTTAGAGATTATAGTTTTGATAAATTGCAACTCGTCAATACAAAACAACAATAGAACTTCTTGCCCGTGGACCACCTGGCTGGTTCACCTGGATGAACCACGGGCAATTATTTCTTCCTGTGGTTCACCTTTTACGTATAAAATAGAAATACTCAAAACTTATATTGGTGGTGGTCCACCTCTTACATTAAAGTTTGATGCTGGCCATTATATTTATCGTTTTAAAAAAAAATATGATTAATTTACAGTTTGATACACAGAAATTGTTTTAACATTATTATTATTATCTAACTAAAGCCACAAATTTTACATAAAATTGTCTCTAGCAACAATGTTTTCTAA